ACCCCCTCCTCTCTTTGACGGTGGAGGCAAATTTAATTAGCCGCGCGCAGTCTGATTGTGTCTCGCTCGCTCGCACCAGGTCACGCAGTACGCAATGTGGTTGTCTCGCTCGCTCGCTCGCACACGGCCGCGCCGTGTGGTTGTCTCGCTCGCTCGCACACGACGACCGCGTGGTTCGAACCCCACTACCGTCCTATCAGCGCGGGGTTGAATTGCCCGGCCTCCCCTTCCCCATCCCCAGGGCCGGGCCGGGCGGGGCCGGGGCCGGGGGTGGCGCGCGCGAGGCCGAGGTCCAAGAGGTTCTCCAGCCAGCCCTCCAGCAGCGGGAGGGCGACCGGGACACACAGGGCCGCGCTGGAGAGTGTTGTCGCAGCTGATGTAAAGGCCCGTCGCACTGTCACCCGGCAGAGATTGGAGCGGGGGCCAGGACTAGCTACACTGCGCAGTCATGGGGGAAAGGCGCCCGTCTCTCGAGGCGCAATTTTTCCTATTCGGGGAGACCAGTCACCCACAGGCCCCCTTTCTTCACATCACCTGATAGTTCGGGCCCATGAAGCTCTGGTCAGTCCACATAATCATGGATGTGTGCAGGACAATTTTGCCATTTAAAAAAAAAAGTAGAGTCGGTGAGCCACCATGTAATTTACAAAAGCAGACAATGTTATAGGGTGGGTCCAGGGCGTCAAGAAGTGCCGTCTTTCTGAAAAGTTAAACAGTTCACTTATTGACATGGTACATAGAGGTGAGAGAAAAGAGAAGCGAAGAGATTTACATTACTAATCAGTGTCATCTTCCGAATCAGAATCACCGGTGAATACAACGCGTTTACATTCCAACTCACATTCCTCTGCGCACGCATCGCATGTACCTTTGCCGCAGCTGTACCCGCACATGTTGGTCATCGACAGTTCCAGCGAGGGGTTGCACTGCAACAACCTGCGCACTGCCCCCTTGTGGAGCCAGTGGTGGTCGCACGGCCTCTCTTTACTTTCCTCCTTGACGCCCTCAGGCTCCGGCCTGGCCTCCCCCGCGTCCCTCAGCACCACCCCGAGCTCGAGGTTCCGCAGGGCCGGGGCCGTGTCGGCCGTGATGCCCAGCCCAGCAGCAGCGCGTCCGGCACCGCGTCCACCCGCAGCTCGAGCCGGCGGAGGGTCCGCAGCGCGGGCGCGACGAGCAGCGCCTGCAGCTGGGGCAGCAGGTCCGGCGGCGCCTCCCTCCTGCTCCTGATGACCAGCTCCTCCACGGACGGGTTCACGGCCAGGACCAGGTCCACGCCGATGTCCGACGACTTGGTCCCCGCGTGCCCGTAGTCCAGGGTGACCTGGCGCAGCTGCTCGGCGCGGCGGAGGAACGCGGCGGCCTCGCGCACAGTCCGCCGCGACTCTTCGCACACGGTCAGGTGCACAATCCTCAGCGACGCGCAGTCCGCCACGTCCGCCATGCCGCCGAGCGGGAAGGACGTCAGCTCGTAGAGGTTGGGCATGCCCGCGAGCAGAGCGGCTGCCGACTTGGAGGAGCAGTAGTTGTACGTGGCGTCATCGTCACCCGAGAGATTAACCAGCTCCAGGGTCGCGGCGTGCACGGCCAGCATGAAGTTGCACAACTCCTCCGACTCTCGGGCATACTCGCAGTCAAACATTCGCAGAGACGATGCGGACGTCTTGTGGAGGCGCGAGAGGGGTTCGAACCGGCTGGGTGCGTCTTCGATGTCTGAGAACAGATCATGCCTCAACACGACCCTCTCGAGCCCACCCGTCGACGCCAGCGTCTCCATCAGCAATTCCGCATCCTCGTCTTCCGGGGAGAAGCGGAGGGTGAAACGTTTCAGCCGGCCGAGCGCTTCCTGGTTCCGCAACACGAGGGCCGCGAACATAGCAGAGCCGGGTTCCACAGCCAGATCCAGGTGTCTCACGGCACACCTGGTGGCGGTGAACGGCGGTAGGCACCCATCGGACATAAACGGGAGCGTGAGCTCCAGCGTGTCCAGGCACGGCGCCAGGCGCAGCACTGGACACAGGACGTGGGACACGTGGTCATGGTCGTCGACCTCCCGGTGCCGCCACGCCTCCCGGTGCAGGGCCAGGGCGCCGATCCTCTTGCAGACGCGGCGGCAGGCGAGGAGGTCCGGTACCTCCAGCAGCTCCATCACCATCAGCAGCACGTCGTCCGGTAAATGCTCCATGCCCTGCAAGCACAACGGTCAGTGAGTTGTCATGTCATCTGCTAGACAGCGTCTGAAAAGCAATCACACAAAACGGCATATATGAAAGAGTGTGTCTCCGCCTCGGGCCGCCGGCCTCAAAGCCGTTATGTTTAAGTTCAACCGGGTGTCAGCCTGGTCACTGACCCGCTTGTCACTGACCAGGTCAGCCAGGTGGTCGGCACGATCTTTCCCCGGTGCAATCCTCGTCGTGCTGCCCTGCTTTAGACGTTTACCGAACCGTCAACATTCGTAAATGCGTTATATTCCCCCCTATACCCTCCTCTTTTGGTAGCGAAGCCTAGGAAGTCTAGTCTTCCTCAGTACTTGGTGCTACAGTGCATTACCGTGGTTCAGTGGTTAAGTGATAAGAGTGATTATGGTGCCGGCGCTTTATTCAAGTTAGCCCCAACGGTTCCAAACAGACAGCTGCACAGCTGAGTTAGGCCTACCTCGGCTGGCTGAAGGCTGAAGCTACTTAGTGATAATGTGACCTGACACTGGTTCACTGGCTGGAGCTCGCCGACAACTGCCATCAGAGGTCAGGGTCAGAGAGTCAGAGAGAGCCAGGGTTGCCAGGTCCGGAGTGAGTCAAGTCGCCAGAAGAGGGCGCTCAAATGGCCTGTTCCAGGGGACTGTCTTATTTTCCCTGATATTTAAATTATTTTTTTAAAGATATTTCCATGATTTTTTATGATTTTTTTCATGATTTTTTCGTGTTTTTTTTTCTTAAAGGATGATCACTGATTTTTTTGAGTGAAGGACCCCTCGATCTGATTGACTGCACCCCTTATGAGAGGGTTTTGTACCGAACCACCGAAAGCCCGAAAATCGGACTGTCAACGGGTACACCACTGCAGTGGTTCCACAGTGAACAGTGGAACCACATCATGAAGCTCGCTTCAGTTCTCATTCGTCCTACCAGTTTACTCAAAACATTTGCCTGAGCGGGCTTTAGCTTTCATTGGTTTCACCGAGACTGATTAAATCGATCATTACATAAAAGTAGTCACACGAAAACTGTTTTAAAAATGGCAAAACTAACATAACCTGTAAAGAGCAAGACCGGGTTGGTTGATTATCGATGTCAAACCTCACTCCAATAAAATACCTCATTCCCCGTGGTTCATCTAGAGGGCAGCCCGCGTGTGGAATTCTTCCCCGTGGTTCATCTAGAGGGCAGCCCGCGTGTGGAATTTCCCCAATGTCGAGTGGTGGATTATGTAAAGATGTTGGCCGGGGCACGGCCGGGGTTCCACTAAATTTTCAGCAGCGGACGGGGCAAGGGAGAATGAGAATGTGTCCACCGTGATAGTTTCTCATACTGGCGATACGTACTAATGAGATCACGAAAGTTTCCCATGTCAACAGGATCGCGTTCAGCATTAGTTTGGCATGCCCTGCTGCGCAGTGAGTGAGTACCAGCTACAGATGTGCGTTTGCGTTTGGCTCTCAAACGTAGGCCTACTGACAATGGCCGGCAAGGGGTGAGGAGGAGGGGAGGCACCCCCTCCCTCACCCACACCTCTCACCTGCAGCCGGCCCGTGCGCTGTGCACACAGGTCGGGCCTTGCCAGTCAGCTTACGAGTGCGAAAACGCGCATCGCTGGTGAGTAGGACGTAACGCGGCCATCTTGAACAACACGGCGGGTTGCGTACACTTGCTAATTGTAAAGGAATTCAAGCCCTCGCCGGTACTCGAACCGGCGCCGGGCACTTAGCCCTCACATCCGGCGCTACTTCCTGCTCCAACGGCGGCCGGACACGGGTCGGCTCTCTATGGGGCCGTAATGGATCGTAGACAACCTCCACCACCGGGACCCGGTCCCCTGTCACTTTGAGATCTACGTACTACTATAACTTCTAGTATAATATGAAACAAATCCCTTACCACTCACAAAAACAACCAAAACAACATAAGCCATTGTAGTTTAGTTTTAGTCAGGCAGCTTTTTAGCTGGAACAACTAACTATCCATTGGGATAGTGATATATTGATAATGGTAACCACAAATTAGCTGACAGCTTATAATGCGTAGATAAATTTCGTTCCTACAGCTAATATTTGAGCTCCATAACTTGGGGAGG